TTCTACTTTGAAGACGATCGAAACGTTGGTTCAGTGGGTAGGTTCGGCTTCATCTAGGACTTACGAAATAAGAGATAAAGATAATTATTTAATCCTTTTTAATGCAGCCTTCGATGAATCATGAAAAAAATTTGCATAAATTATGATTCATTAATGCATGGTGGGTGACTCACCTTCGTTTGATGTACCAGTGATCGGTTGCAAAAACGACGTAGAGGTAATGCTCATCTCCACTGGCATTCTCAAACGAAAAAAGGCAACAGCCAGATATTAAACTTGCGGCTGAAAATGGCGAATTAGACTTACTGTATCAGCGATGTAGAATCAGAATCTGCCGCGATTTTCAGGTCTCCCAACCATCGAAACACTTCGTAAATGCGCAACAACTGGCTTAATCGAGGAATCACAGTTGTTTCGAAGCGCGACCTCTCAGATGCCGGCAATACACTCTACAAAACGTTGAAAAATACTTTGCAGCTTTATGCGTGAACGATGGGGTTTATACCTCTGACAGCGACGTCTCCCACACTGAGAGCATCAACAGTAGCTGCTGACACAAGCGACAGCGTGTATCCACAGAATGTCGAAAATATGCACTTAGCAGCCCATAGCATAAACTACTCAATTCCGGATTGCCTGAAGATGAGCCTGGAAGCAACTGGACATTTACAAGGCAGTTAAAGAAAACACATATGTAACGTAACAAAAACAAAATACGATAGATGAAGTACATAATCTAAAGAAAATTGTGCATAAAAACCAAACAGCAGGAAACACCATGTTTAATGTTAATAATGTTAAGGCAAACTACCAAGGTACCAACCTCTGATGCATACTTCATATATCAGCATGAATTACTACTTAATTATTTAGTACGCAACTTTCACCTGACCTGTAGCTGCAAAAGAATATTTCTTAACTCCAGAAGGCAAGAAAAACAGAATTTTATTCATCTAAGTAAAACAAAGTGAAAAATTCATGAAATAAAATAAAAATACCTGTAGGATAATTAAAACGAAAGGTGCTAACAGAACGTACATCGAAAATACTTTTAATGGCAATTTACTCTTGCCTAAAAATTTGATTCAGATTTTCAAGATAATTTAAAAGTAGCAGTAAACATTTAAAGTGTGAAAAACAGTAAGGAAATATAAGATGAAGTGAAACCGTAAACAGTATATCAAGCAATGACGTCGATAGTTATTCGCCGAACATGATGAAACTTAGCTGAGAAAAAAAAACATTATTCACAAAATGTAGATATACACTTTCGAAAGGGTTTCGTATCAACTAAAATTTTATTTTAAACGTGAAAACTTCAGTTAAGTTTGAAAGCTACAAAAAATACATCGGTAAAACAGAAAACAAGAACAAAGAACCTCCAGATTAGTATTTCGCTAAATAGACTGAAACCTCGCTAACGGAAATAACTTTTTAACAATCATTCACCAGTACAGTCCATCTTGAAAATTGAATAAAACGCAATTTATATATACACATCTCTGGCAAATGGATCATTGATCGTTGATCAACCAGTACCAACATTTCAATCATGTTTCACTGGCCTTCTTCAATATGGGCAAGGTTGATTATTGACGTCAGCAGCTGTTGTGACATTTGGAGTTGAACGATGAAGATGGCCGGTGAGACCGGAGCCAGAAAGGCGGTACTGGTTAATCATTTGGCTGACTAATTTGCTTGCGAGGTACATGAATGAGCCGTGTTTCAATACAGTTTTAAGCATGACTAACAACTTAGGAACGAAATACTCATACAGCCAGTATTGCATCAGTGTAGCTTTCACTGGATTTTGCTTAAAGATCTTTTAAATGAGAGCAAATCAACACACACTCAATAAAAACATAAAACAGCACATATAAACATACAAATCCAAATATAGAGTATGCTGAATAAAAAACGAATAACATCAGTTAAATGAAATCAATATAAAATTACGAAACGGATAACCATAATGAAAACTGGCTGAACGAAGGTATATTCCAGAAAACACAGTTCAGTTAGCAAATGAATTGAATAAATGTACAAATTTTTCGAAATAATCCAAAATACTTTAAAAAATTGGTATACATGCAAAACGTGGAAAAGATCAAGAAACAGCTAATATGACACGCAGAACATATCATATCGAACATAATGGCAAGAAATATTTTGCTTAGTCCAAATAAAGCAAAGCTGAAAAGTTGCTCTCGGCTGAATATAATGGAACTTCGCGTAATCAGATTGTATACTACATTAAAAAACTATTTATTTTCGGTATAAATTCTTCATGAAAATTTAATATTTTAATTTTAGCCCAATGAATCGGCCAAAAGGTTATCCAATCCATAAAGCACGAAACACAGACGTGCTAATCATCAAGACTAAAAACTGGTTTACCGTCGATGTCGTTAGAGCACGGGATCACCGCACCATTTCTTACGGTATTCAGTTCGCGACTAATTTCTCGTCTGAGTACAATACAGCAGCTTCAAAGGAATTAATTCATAATTCGGGAAAGTTACAAAACAAAAGCAATGAAAGTATATGATGATGACCGAATCTGAACTAAGCAAGCTCTCACCTAAAGCCAAGCATTAACTGCTTGTTTTAGAACTAGATCAATTTTAAATTTAAGTTAAAGAGGAAATCAGGTGAATTTGTTCACTGCTAAGGAGGACGGAAGGCAAAACGTAGGTGCGTAGAAGGCTGATTGTTTAGCAGCATACAAAATGGTCATCTATCCCAGAAACGGGACGATTCCATATGCGGGGCAGACACTAAGTAAGAGATGGCTGTGTTCGAGGAAGGGGAAGGCGATGATAGTTCTGGGCGAGGAAAAAAGCTTCACACCGCTGTCAACTAGAACTACTCTTACCGGCTTCAGACAAGCGTAGACAGTAGTCAGCACCTTCTGCCAGGGTCAGATGCAGAGAACAGACTGGAGTGAATCACCGTAACAATAAACAGGTATCGTGTCAAGGAATATGAAGCAGCGGTGAAGGCGAAAAGCACGAAGTGATTGCTTGCAATGATACAGGGTGCTCTAAAAGTAGCATCTCAGAGAATACTCTATTCTACTCGACGTACAATTGTTATTTAGCTTTGATACTTCAGCAGTTTTTTTCATTTCTCTATCAAATATCTTTTGCAACCTCAAGTAAGGTTTGGCATCACTTCGTGAAGGTCTCCAAAAACAGCGCTGAAAGTAATAATATAGCTGGCCAT